GCCATGGGGGGCCAGATCCTTGGGTCCCCCCTGGAATGTCCCAGGGCTACAATCAGAAACAGGCACAACAGCCTTTCCCTGGGGTCCTGGGACGGATGTTGGTGTTGTTCATTCATATCATTTCCAAACTGCTTTCCTGAGAGTGATATGAAAGCAGCATGGCACAGAAGACAGTGGCATCAGACAGACCTCGTTTAAGCTGGGTGATGTTGGGCAAATCAGCTAAGCTTTCTAGGCTGTAGTTTCTTCGACTGTAATTGAGGCTGATAATACTTTGCAGGCTTGCTGTGAGGCTGAATGCAGTGAAACATATCAAGTACTTAGTACCCGCCCAGCACATAGTAAATACCTAGTACATGTAGTTGTTGTTATTTTATTATTTTATTTTTTAAGGTTTATTGATTTATTTAATTAATTTATTTTCTGAGGAACATTAGCCCTGAACTAACATCTGCTGCCAATCCTCCTCTTTTTGCTGAGGAAGAGTGGCCCTGAGCTGACATCCGTGCCCGTCTTCCTCTACTTTCTGTGTGGGACGCCTACCACAGCGTGGCTTCCCAAGCGGTGCCATGTCCGCACCCGGGATCCAAACTGGCGAGCCCCATGCTGCCGGAGGGGAACGTCCGCACTTAACCACTGCAGCACCAGGCTGGCCCCTGTCGTGTTATTTTAATGATAAATTATCCCTAAGGTCCCTTCCAGCTCAGACCTTCCTGGGTTTTATGACTGTAGAATTTAGCTTGGCCTCCAGCTTTGCAAGGGAAATGTAGCTGGACTTGGAAGAAGGCAGTGAACAGAATCCTGTCGTGGGGGTTGGAAGACTTGGGTTCAAGTCTGGGCTCTGCCACCCCTGTGCTATGTGACCTTGGGCAAGTCCTTTCTAGTTTCCAGACTCATTTCCCCATCTGCTTAAAGTTAGCAGCATGGGCTTGGTGATCGCTGAGGGCTCATCCAGTTCTAACATCTTGTGAATCGAGGGGCCTAAAGGAACACCTGAGCAGCCATCCACCGGGTCCTTTTTTACAATTTCAACTATTTTCCCCCTCTGCCCTTATTTCTTGGGGTGTGTCCACAGCAGAAAGGATGTAACTTGCCAACTCCAGCATATGTATTTTAATCACATTTAGTTTTTTGCTTTTAATGTGCACAGAAAACTTTTTGCAATGCAATTTGCTTAATGCAATTTTTGTAAGCACAGTGCACTGGATCAAAGAGGTCAAACCATGCTCTGTGTTTTCAAATATGAAAGGCAAGCTTTTGTATAAAAGTACTGCATCTGCTGATTTCTTTTGCTTTTATCTCTGAAATGACCAGAACAGGCAGCCTTGTGTGCTATAATTTAAAAAATATGCCGCAGTCAATGCATCCTAAAAAAATAGTCATGGGTATGATTTAGATAAAAGGATGTTTGTTAAGTATCATATAAGAGAGAAAAATGGGAAATTATCTAAATGTCCAACAACAGGTTTAACTAAATTATGGTATATCCACTTGAGAGCACTGTGAAAAATGATGACTCAGTTGTTCACAATATATTGTTAGGTAAAAAAAGTCAGTTCCCAAACAATATGGACTAAATTTTTAAAAACCATTAGGTTGAACCGTATGCAATGGCTGATATTTGACCATTTTTAACCTATAAAATCAGCAGTTTCATATGACTTAATCTAAACAAAAAACGTACACGTATAAGAAAAGGTACTAGAAGAGAAGCCTTCTACCAGAATAGTGATGGTGGTTATTTCTGATTGATGGCTTTATGGTGAGTTAAATTTTTTCCTTCTTACTTAACTACATTTTCTATGAACAATTCAAGTATCACTACTAAAAATGATCCCCAGAAAGGCATCCACTGTATGAACGGTAATTCTCCTGCCCCGCTGCAGTGTGTTTGATTTATCATTTGTGTTTAAAAGGTTTAAAATGACTGCAATTTTATGGCCATGGGCAGGATGGAAAGCTCTACTCTTCGTGTACTTTTGGTACTAGGATTGGTTTTTATTCAGTAGTGACTGCTCAGAACACTTTGCTGGTGGGCCCAGCTTTTCAAAGCCCTCTTCATCTCTTGCCACCCCCTACAACAGACAAGTGTTTTCCATGAGCCCTATCACTGGGGCTTCAGGCCAGCTGTGTCCCTAATCCGCCCATGTCCCAGATTTGGGAATGGTTCAGACTCCAACTGTTCCCCCCCTCTACCCCCACGTTCTTCCAATCTCATCTCTTCCAGGTCATCGGAGGTCCCATCTACTGTCCCTGGGCTTCCCCACTGGTCAGCACCTAATTTCACCATCTAATTTCACCCTCTGCTGTACAGCTGGTGTTTGCTTTTGCTGGAGCTCAGTTTGCAATGGGGAAGGATTAGGACCCTTTCATGCCATCTTTTTTCTTTTTGTTTTTTTCCTCAGTGCCCTTGACCGCTCCAGGGGCTGACAGGCAGCTAGCAGGGCCTGTATTCCCTAGGAAGGAACAGGAGGGGTGGTGGGGGAGGCATTGGTGGGCTCAGCTGGCAGGCGGGATTGAGATGGCCCCTAGAGACCGCATCCTGGGGCTTGGAGCATGGCACAGCCGCCACCCAGATGTGAGCATGGAGCAGGCAGGGCAGGAGCTGAGTTTCTGCCTAGGAAATTAGCTTCAGAGATGGTGCTTGGGAACTTTACCCTTTGTACCCAATAGCAGCCTCTACAGGGGAAGCTGGAGTGGAATGTCCGGTTTGCAGAGGCCTCTTCTGAGAGGTCAGATGGAGTAAGGGTCAGTTCTCTGCCTTCAGATTGGGCACTGCTCATCTCCCCACCCTCTACTCGGTGGTGAGCCCAGCTACCCTCAGGCATTGGGTACTCGGCCTAGCAAGTGATGGTGTGCACCTAATTAATAACAAAAATCCCTCAACACACGGATAGCACTTTACAGTTTATGAAGCCCTTTCATCTCCAGGCTAAGAATTAAAAACCAGGACTGGAGTTCAGGTCTTTCAGATTCTAAAGCCTGTGTCACCAGTGTTTGGTGTGGTGTTGCATGGCGCTCCGAATTGGAGAGTGGTTCATGCCTGCCATCTGTCTAGCTGTTTTCTGCTAGCCCGAGAGCGCTACTTTCTTCAGGGTGATGATTATTAAATAGTACACACTCCGTGCATCCAACTGAGCCTCTTTAAGTAGGATGTGTCATTGGTTAGCACTTTATGGCATAGAGAATACTGGTTCTCATGAACCTGAATTTGCTGGATAATGTGGTGGTGGTGGTGAGCTGGCTGGTGATCGATCTTCAAGATTCATCCTTCCTGGTACCAGATTTCCAGGTCTGAGGCACAGGGGAGGTAGGGCAAAAGCTCCCCAAACCAAAAGCACAGCTGAACCTGAGGCAGGAGACCAGAGTAGTCAAGAACAGGTGTCTCACCCTGGTACACAGAATGACCTTGGCCAAGTCACTTGACTTTCCTGAGCCTCAGCTTCCTTATATATAAAATAGGGATAATTCATTTACTCGTCCAACAAATATTTATTGAGTGTGCACTGTTCCAGGAGATGAACAAGAGGGACAAATTCCCTGCCCTCCTGGCGTTTGCAGTCATGTGGGTCGAAACTGCAGCAATTTATTGAGAGGGACAATAAACAAATAAATCTATAGTAGAAAGTCAGGTAAGAGTGAGTGCCATGAAGCAAAATTAAAGCAGGGCACGCGTGTGTGAGTGGAGGCTGTTTTTGATAGGGGTGTCAGGTGGTCCTCAAGGGGTTCTTACATGTTTCAAACAGGTAATTCACATACTGTGCTCAGTTCAGTGCTGACAACAATTGAGTGCTTAACAAATATTATGTCAACCTGCTCCACACCTCTCAGTCCATAATTTCGTCTCCAAATAGCAGTAATAATTAACACTTACGTAGATCTTACATTTAGACACTGTTTTAAGCCTTGTAGATATTTTAACTCGTTTAATTCTTACAATAACTCTTATGAGGTAGGAACTGTTATCCCCTCTCATGGGGTCAGAAACAGGCACAGAGAAGGCCAAACAATTAGGGAAGGCTGGAGGCTGAGAACTGAACCCAGGTGGTCTTCCTAGGGGCTGAGCTGAGATGTGAGGGGGCTGTGATTAGATGGAGACCAGGAGACAGTCTAGCTGGCGTATACAGGCTCTGATGTCAGATTGCCTGGCTTCTTGTCCTGGTAGGTCTAAGCCTCTCTTCTTCATCTCAAACATGGGAATACCAGAAACTATCTGACCTTATAGGGACCATGCTTAAAACAAAGGCTTCTTTCTGCCAGCCTGTTCAGAGATCAGCCTGGCATGGAGTGAGAAGGGTCAAGGGGCCTCTGAAACTTCTGAAAGGAAATAAGGGCACATCAGGCAGTTGTCAGAGCAACCCAAAGTTCGGCTGCAGACTAGGCCTTGAAGCTAGGTTTTTATTATTTGGTGGGTGCCAGGGCGAAATTAGGAGACCCATAAATGCAGAAGACAGCTGAAATCTTGGCGTGGCCACAACACAGCTTCCATTTCAGGCCTTACACAGCTGCCAGGAGAGGTAAATTCTCATCGAATGTCAGGTTGGAATGGCGCCTCGAGACGGTCAAGTTAGTAGATGGAGAAACTGAGGCCCAGAAAACCTGAGTGACTTACCCAAGGTCACTGGGTGCATTAGGGGGCAGTCAGCTGGGGCAGCCTGGCAGCAACCTCGGCTTTCCCTGAGGCTTCCAAATCTCGGCCTCCCACCTGGCCCTCCTCCGGCCGGAAAGGGCCTCACCTTGGTCCGGGACACTAGAGGCCTCACTCCCCACGTGGGTGCTGCAGGGGCCAAGAACACCGGGACTCCAGAGCGGGTTCGACTTGCGCGTGCGCACACGCTGCCGGCCCCTTGCCGTTCCCCCTTTTTCCCGCCCCTCCCCTCTCCTTACCGGCCTAGGGGAGGGGGGCAGCAGGGGGCGCCCGAACTTGGCCTCAGCCAATGGGCTGACGGGCCGCGGGCCCGGCCCCCTCCTTCCCTCCCGCGCCGTCCAATAGAAATTTACTACAATGTTGTGGCGACCGAGGGGGAGGGGCGTGCGCGGGCGGGCTGGCTGCGGGCCGGGCCGGCCTCGCCTCGAGGAGGGAAGGCGGGAGGGCGCGCGCCGGGGCCGCCTGCTCGCTCCCTCGCTCGCTCGCTCCCTCCCTCCGCCGGTGGGTTAGTCAGTCCGTCAGTCCGCCAGCAGCCGGCGGGCCCGCGAGCCGCAGAGGGCCCGAGCCGCGGACGCCGGCGCCTCTTCCAGCCATTGTTCGTCGGGCGGCTGCAGCGGCGGGCGCGGGAGCCCGGGCCCCGGAGCCACCGGTGAGGCGAGGCGGCGGCGGGCTCGGAGCTGTCCCCGAGGGGACGGTCCTGGCGGCCGCGGCGGCGCCGCAGCCTCTTTGTCTGCAGCCCCCCGCAGGCCCGGGGCCGGGGGCGCGGGCTCTCCGGCTTCTGCACGCCGGAGGCTGGGGGGCCGGAGCCGGGACGCGGCCGGCCTGAGGAGGGAGGCGGGGGTTCGCTGGGGAGCGGCTCAAAGTTAGGCTTGGGGTCGGTTTTTGACGAGGGGAACTCGGCTCTGTCTGGTCTGTCAATCACTGGAGAGTGGGCAGGAGCCTCGGGAGGAACCCCCATGGGGGAGAATTGCAGGTTTCGGGCGGTGAAGGTGTTGGGTGCAGCCGCAGAGCGGTTTCTTCGTGACGAGGCATCGGGGCTGCCCGGGGAAGTCAGCCTCGATCTGGGGGGGGGGGGGGTGCAGGGAACCCCGCGAGGACTTGAAGGCCTTCCCGCCATTGACACTCGCATCATTGAGAAAATTCCCAACCCCGGGGCGCAAAGGCGCTCAACCTTGGGCTTCACGGTTCCCAGCGACCAAAGGGTTAAATCTATTCTTTCATCATCGTGACCTCCTTTTTCAGTTCGCGCATCTGTCGGCTTGGAAGTATTTCCTCCTGCTGGCTGGGCTGCTTGTACCTGCGGAGGGGCTGGATCTGGGCTCGCCCTCCGAGATTCATCACCCGGCCCTTCTTCCTGTGGCGGGGGCGGGAGTGGGGCGGTGGTACCAAAACAGGGTTATTCTTCCCAGGAACGGGCATCCTCTGGAGGGAGAAAGTGATCTCACGTGAAACAAATTGCTGACGGATTGGTTTCTGGCCACATGATAGGACTGTCATCCTGTTGTTTCTCGAACTGCACTCTACCAGAAATGACTAGTCTGGGGAGACTTGTCGTTTTTTTTTTGGCCTGTATTGCTGATTAGGAGATAGTTTTTTGTTTTTCTTTTTTTAAGAGATGTGGAGCTTTTTTTAGTAGTCTGGGTGATTTCACAGCTGCTATTTTGTTCTTTCTGTTTTCAGGGAAAATTGCAAGAAATGGTTGTCTTGTGTCTTGGATATTATTATAGTGGGTTTATACTCTCTTGAGGTTATAATGTACTCAGGGCTGTTGCTCGTTACTGTTTCCTCAGTCTGTATTTCTCATTTCTGTATTCTCAGTCCTGGCAAAAATTCTAGTTGGTTTGACTCTTTTTTAATCAAGCAGATAAATATATCTCTCCTTTATATAATTCTTCTTATCTCAATTTTGTTAGTGTAGCCTTCACCCTGACTTTTTATGGAAACTTGATGTACTCTTCATTTTCCTTTTCTGTAAAAAGGGAAACATAATAAGTTCTTTGCCAGCTGTACAATTTTTGGTTTTATAAAATAGTTTCTTGGGGTGTTATTAATATAATCTGTGTAGAGTACCTAGCAGAATATCTGGCACACAGTAAGCACTCAATAAATGACATTAAAAAATGGATGTAATAACTGAACATCAGATTGCCTTGGAATCAAAGTGCTAAGTCAGAGTGCTTTCTGCAGGACGGTTATAGTTAAGGTACAGATAGGTGTTATTCGGATCCCTGGGGAAATTGAAGTCTGGTATATCTTTGCCACTGTTGAAGTGGACTCACTGGCAGACCCAAGCTCAGCCTGCTAACTTTCTGATTCCTCTTGCTTCTAGAAACAAAACTACTCTTTTTTCCTTGTATAATTGAATTCAGGCTTAGAAGCAAATGTTCTTAATCTTTAGGCCTCACCCAAATTCTCTCAACATTTATACCAGTGTTTTATATCAAATATCTTATAGGTAAGTTCTTGCACAAAATGACCCCGATCTACATTTCCACCTTTATTCTCCTTTTTATGTACTTGTGTTTTCCAACCAAAAAGAACTGCTCAGTAGTAACCCGTGCCGTCCCATCTCTGTACCTTTGGCCATGTGGTTCCATCTATGTTTGTCGTATATATTCCTCCTGACTGTTTTCAGTTCTCTCACATTAAAAATGTTCCATATACTAGTAATTTGAAGTGTGGGGAACAGTTCTCTATGTGGAAGGAAATTGAGGGGATTTTTGGTTTTGTTTTGAATTTTATTTGAGCTTCATTAGTGTGGCCAGCCAGTTGAATTTTCTTTAACTAGGATTCGTTAAAAGGATTTCGGTTCTAAGTGCCCCATCAATGTTAGCCCTTAGTGGTAGATGATGGCTGATGGTAAATTAAGAAAATCTCTTAGACTCCCTTCCATTCTACTTAGAGCCAAGAACTCCACCAACTGACAAGTTTACTGCTTAGAAACTCTGGCTGTCAGCAAATACACTGAGCTAGTTCAAGAAAGTTTTATCTTTTAGGTGGATCTCGCTGCTTGCTTTCTGCATCTCTTCTCTTTCTTTGTGGTCTAAGGGCCAACATTTCCTTAACGTTTGTTAAACACTCAAATCATATTTATTATATTCAAGTAGTAGATATCTCGCATATGTTTTAAAGTAGGCTTATCCTCAATATAATATGTAAAATAACATGAAATAATAATTTATGTAATATTAACCAAATAATACACAGGTCTTCCTCTTTGAGTGTTTAAAAGTACTTTCATCTTATCTCCTTTCTTTTTTCCTTAAGAAACACTTCTAAGGTAATATCTAAGTTAACAAATAATTTAAAATGGTCCTGCCTCTTCTGAAAAAAATGGTTGTGGCATTTTGTTCAGATATGACCTATATCTTTTTCCTGTTACTCTCTTTTGTCAGGTTTGTGCCCCACATTTAAAGTTCACCTGTGTGATGTTTTCTGGTGTGCAGCTTGAGTTGAACATTTTTGGAAATTACAGAGCTTATCTTCCATTTCATTCCTTAGTTTATGATCTTAATTTTAAACAAATTCATATTATGGGAGACAATGTGCTTCTAGTGCTGTTTGCTTTCCTTCCTCCTGTTCCTAAGAAAGCTTTGGAGTTAAGCTTGTCAGAAGTGTTGCCTAAAAGTCACAGGGTTCTTGAATTCTCTGCAGGTGCTTTGACATGCTTACCTGTAGACTGTAATTTAAAATACGTGGTCTGTAATTTGTGATGTGAGTGAGTGGCCTTGCTTATATTGTTTTCTGAATGTCCAAATCCAATTTAATTTGCTGATCTGATTTTATGACTTTAGCATATCAATGGCTGTCAGGGGCTGCATTTGGTTTTGCAATCAAGAGGAGGGTATGTTATTTAGACCACAATCTGTTTCCTTGTAATCTAAGAAGCAGGCCAGCCCCACTGCTGCCAGAGTATTTTTCCAAGAGTCTCATCAGATTCGTGATTGGTCGCATGCATATCCAGATACAGATTCATCGCTGTCTCTAAAGGACTTGTTTTTTTCCCCTGTTGCTTGAACATGGAACCACCTTATTTTATTTGTGAGCTAAACAATAACAATTCTAGCTTTTTTCTTATGAATAACTTTGCTTTTTTCTCTGAATAACACCCCTAAAGATGAAACTTTTAAAAGAGGCCTCTGAATTGATCAATTAAGGGCCTTATTTATGTAACAAATCTGGAATTATTGGAAGGTTATTGACTCTTTGCATTTATAAGAAGCTTTTAGTTAGAGAAGAGCCAGATTCTAAATATATGTGTTAATTTTTTTTATTTGTTTAAATTTGTTGATATGTCACTAGTGGCTTACTGTGTGTCCTTTTTATGAGTGGGTTCCTGTGTGTTCAGTAAAATGCAGTGCAACAAATACTCTTGTATACACACTGGGTTAGATTATTATTTTGATTTACTCTGCTGCTATTTAATGAATACACATTGAGAAGGATAAAGAAAAAAGCTATAGCAATGAACAGTGTTCAGAAATGGAGGCATTGGAAAGAAGAACTTTGTTATTTTATTTTGAGGGCTGATCTTATTTAGAATTAACTGCCTCACTGAGACTACTTCAACTGCTGGTTTTAGGGAAGTTTAGTGGGACAATCTGATTATGATGAAAGTCTGTTTACACTTACTTTTGCTAATTGTTTTTACTTAGAGGGGATTGTACCCACCTTGAAGTCTTCGAAAATAAATTGGCTAGCTCTGTGAACTTTAAAGAAAAGCAATATACCTTGGTGTGGCCAACACAAGTCAAGGAGTGACATGGAGAGGCTTTAATATACCCAACCTCCAATCTTCATCAGCTTTCTCCAAAGTCACCCTAAGGAAATATGCTACCCCTAAAAGTCCCTTCTATATAGAAATTCCAGAGCCATCCTGGCATCATGTTTATTATTTATTATTTTATTATTGCATTTATTAAGACCAGTTCTCATTTTGCAGTTACCTCTTATCTCCAAGATAAATCCGTATGAATTCAACTGTGATTGTGATTGAATTGCTGCTCTCTCCTTCCACGGCTGAGATCTCTGGGTCACTTCCACCCACATTACTGTAGGCCGTCTTCTGTCATTCTCAACTCTCAGGGCAGTCTCTATTAAGATGGTTTCTAAGTTAATGTGGAGTGGAGCTTGGGAAGGGTTAAAGTAATCTTGGCAGAGTGGTTTGGAAGAAGCAAGATTGTCTGGTAGAATGGATAGCAACTATGACTAACTATTGATATTGATAAATAAAATTGAAAGAAGCAGTGGATGCTGTTTTAATATTATCATCTAATTCTATCTATATATGTATATCTATCATTCTCTTCTGTTATCTAAGAATATTATCTACTAATAGGGACAGGAATACCTCCATTTCTTTTTGGAAATAGGTAGAAATAATAAGATAAGATAAAATAAAATAGGATATAATACATACTCCTGTAGTTAATTGTAATTTATAAATGCAACCTGCCTGCTCCTTGTGCTTCCATCCTCTACAAAAATCAGCCTAATCTGAATAAACTGTTGGTAGGCCTTCTATAGGTCTGAATTGTAGCACTGGACACCACATAGAATGATGTTTACATACTTTCTACATTAATATTCACTTAGAAAACTTTTGTATTATGTTTGATAATATCTGCATTAAACCATAAAACAGTTATGACATAAAAGTTTTGAGTGAGAAACTTTTAGTGATTTAACAACATTAAAGCATAAGGTTATTTTGAATTAGTTAAATTTAAGCTTGTGACCCACAAGTGTGATCAAAGTGTATACTTTTGGTAATTTATGAATATATAGTATTGTGCCAAGGTTTAGTTGCGATTGCTATTCAGCTATTGCTTAATGATTACATAAATTAAGTAACCCTATTAGAATAATTTTAACACAATGAGATCTTAGCAGTATATCTCTGAGTACATCATCTTATAAAGATATGCTCTTTTAATTTATATGTCAAGCATGTATTTTAATTTAGCAATTTGAAGTTCTACATATATGCAAGTGAACTGTTTCACCTTGATAATGCACTTGGAAGAGATGGTTGAAATTCATTTCCCCCACCTAGTTTTGGCCATATGGACACAGGCAGTACTACTGTCAAGTGCTCCAAGGATTTAAACCCTCAAG